AAAATTGAAACAAGATAGGCGACATTTTTGTTAACATTTTTATAAGCGTGACACTACTGAATAAACTTATGTGCTTTAAAACGTAACCAATCTAAAATGTTGTTATATTAAATTAGCGACTAATGAAGGTATTAGTCGGTAGAACAGTACTTATGTGTGTATGTGTATGTAAGATGAATACTTCAAAGCTAAGATCACAGGAGGGTTGGGTCACTTTATACCTGGCTAGTGTATTTAGACGGCCAGGAATGACCAACTACTAGAGCTGATTTAAGTTAAGTAGCGAGTACCTGGTTCTACGCTGGCACGGCGTGGCCTAAGCTGTAGAGCGCCAAGGTGCTAAACCGTAAGTCTCGAATCAGGTCTAAGTAGAACGTCCCTGAGTCCACCCAGCTTTGATGGGTACCTAACTCATGTTCGGAAAAGTAAAGGCGGTTGGGCAAAGTGCTGAACACACATTCCCTTTTATATCCCGAGGTCAATAAACATGAACTCTACTTCATCTGTCCAATGGATCGCCAGGTCTAAAGAGGATTCTTTACTAATCTGGTTCTATTCCATCTGGCAAAAGAATGGGGTCCTGTTTAAAAAAGTCAATTTTTTAAAATATCAAAATGTTATAATCGACAAATTATTATACATTTAGAACGAAGGTTAGACTGATGCGGTTCTCCATCTTAAAAAGGTTTTGAACCCGAGAGGCCACCTTATGATGTTATATCGTATACACTTTGATCCCGATATATTGATGACGAAAGCATTTATAAATAGATCTCAGTGAAGACGTTTACCAGAGCTCGAACACTTGTCGTTATGGAGGTAATGGTTCTCGTGGATAAGTGCACACACCTGGAGCAAAGACGTACGCGCGAGTATAAAACACGTGCGGCGTTGTTTCAACGACGAGGTAACGTTTTGACTGGGCTGTAAAACAGACTCACATCTTACAGGTAAGCTGGTGCACGCGTACTCAGTTGACAAGATTTTTTTTTTTTTTTTTTTTTTTTTTTTACTTTACTCGGGAAGAGGGTGATGGTTTTAAACAAACTTTATGAGAAATATAACGAGAATTCAATTGTGTGAATTACTACCATTTCCTAGCTCATAATCGCCGCTGGATAACCGATACTAGCTTCTACCAGCCAATGAATGGCAATGCTAGCTCATACTTCTACTGCTTGCCTCTAGCTCCATCTACTAACAGTATATTCCGCACCCCAGGGACCCCCAAAAATACAGTACAAGCCTGTCCAAGAAAAGCCCCTTTCAACACTCAACATTCGCCTGTTTAATTATCCTCCCTGCTTCTCTCTGGACCCCGTCATTATCGCCCCTACTCTGGATTGTTAGACCGCTGAGTCGCACCTTACTGCTTCAACCACAAGGCCGCTACTCACGCTGAAAGATGACCGCGCGTGAGTCCCACGGCACCTGCGTGAAACTGTCGTCACAAGGACGTGAGCAAATATATACACCAAAGAAATAGCCAACACATAACAAACTTTTAAGAGTGAGATGTGAGAAGGGAAAAAATAGAATTAATTTCCAGATTCAACATTTGCGTGAGGTTTTCTTTGTAAGCCCTTCGTGCAACGTGCTTTGTTATTAGTATATATATATGTATATATATGTATATATATATATATATATATATATATATATATATATATATATATATATATATATATGTATATATATATATATGTATATATATATATATATATATATATATATATATATATATATATATATATATATATATATATATATATATATATATATATATATATATATATAATATTCCTAATACGCACTTTAAACATTCAATTTTCAAATGGTCTGATACAGAGTATCGAGAATGTTGTCTTTGAGGAATTGGTGTTCGAGATTATCCTTCTAGATGAAATTGTGGGTATTATGTGACGACAATTTAAAAGTTTTGCGACGTTTATTTATCGTTTCACGGAATTACTGTGTGTTTTATCATAATGTTATAAGAATGTGTCCCTTATTGTTTTGGGGAGTCAAAAATATAGTTACTTATACAAACATTGTTAAACAAGATAGAAACAGCTGTTACTTTAGTAAATATTAATTTTAATAGAAAAAACAGTATTGACTTTTTAAACAGATGGAGAATTTAATTCATATTTTTATGAACTGTTACAGTTTTTGCTTTTTTTAATACAAGTACAAATGAAAAATGTTAATAATTTAAAAAATTAATGAAAAATAAATAGACAAATGGGAGTTTATAAATTCTAATTATTTTTTAATCATATTAGTAATTTTGTGAAGCATTGTCTCCCTTATATAAATACTATTATGTCTTGAATCTTCATTAGTAAAAGCACATATAGCCCTTCTCTACCTACTTGTATAAATTTCTAATGCGTATAACCAAGTTATTATTTATTTACAAAACACCAACCAGTAGCGTAGCGAGGGGGGGGGCGGAGGGGGACATATGTCCCCGGGCGCCGACCTTACGGGGCGCCAAAATGGGTTGGGAAAATAAATTGAAAGGTTGAGGGGGGTGCAAATCGAAAGTTTGAGGGGGGGGGGGTGCAAATCGAAATCTCGAGGGGGGGGGGGTGCAAATCGAAAGTTTGAGGGGGGGGGGGCGCAAATCAAAAAGTTTGTACCCGGGCGCCGGGAAGGGTCGCTACGCCTCTGACACCAACCCATCTCATTGATTCAAATCCTTCAAAATGAAATAATGTGTGATTGTTAGTTTACGTGTGTGTGTGTGTATGTGTGATTGCGAATGCGAATATGTGTGTTTGATTATGTGAATGTGAATGATAGCTTTTAACACTTTGAGACAATAGCCTTTTTTTACTTTCTTGTATACGGAGTATAGAGGAAGTATTGTAACCGTATACAAATATAACATGAAATTTTGAGTTTTCATCGTTTTACACCTCAGTACTTCATTATATACGGGGTATAAAAAAAAATTTAATCGGGCAAAAATAATAAATGCAGATTTATCAAGGGGGGGGGGCGACCTAAGGGGGGGGGGCGCCAAAATGGGTTGGAAAAACAAAGTGAAAGTTTGAGGGGGGGGGGGGTGCAAATGAAAAGTTCGAGGGGGGTGCAAATCGAAAGTTTGTCCCCGGGCGCCGGGAAGGGTCGCTACGCCTCTGGGGAGTGGGGCGTCCACGTCAAAATGTATGTATTTATCATCATACAGGGGAAGTAATATTACTATAATCGGGTGTAGCGGACTTTAAAAATTACGGATGTCAATTTTAATTAATTTAGCTTCTGTTAGAGACTTTATGATTTTATAATTTTTTTAATTTTTTTTTTTAAAGCAGACCCAACTGGAGGGACTTTCGAAATTTACAAAACAATTAGTCTCGCATAAGATACTTTTATAAAACACTAGCGTACCCGTCCCCGCGCGTTGCCGCGGGAATAGAAGAAGGATTTCATCCATACGTTACCAATCATATATTCTTAGACGCGCAACATTGTTTTCTAAAATAGAGTTATTTAAATGTAAACAATGCCTGCGCTTGGATCATAAACACTGGGACACGGGTTTACCTACACTACCGCGTGAAAACCTTATGTGTACATTAATCACTCACCGAAATAATATGGTAGAACACACTTCGGTGACCACCCATGTGTCAGGGACGTAGAGTGGCGCTCTCATGGCCCCCACCCCCCGATTACACTACCGCATAGGCGCGGCGTACGACCCCTGGCTCCTTAAAACTAACAGGCGCCATCGGCCAAATAGCATCCTGTTAATAATGATGCAGATTTCGTCATTCGCTAAAGTGACACAAATGAACAGGATTTTTTTCTTTAACACGAAAAAAAATTATTTAACGTGTTTCAAACATCAGTGTGACTGATGCAATATGCTAGCGTTACTAATGGTCTATTATTAGATGCTCGATCTCAATTTCTGACTAGATTGTCTAATAATAGGTGCTTAGTGACGAAACTCTACAGTAGGCTCCTCATATTTAAAAAGTTATTTTTTCATCTTTGGCAAGGTGACGAAACTGTACAGAAGGATTTCCTCGCGTTACAAAGTTATTTTTAAAAGCCTGTTGTAGTTTTACTGCTGAATATAGTAGTACCCCTAACTCGCTATGCAGGACGCTCGATTAACGGATGCCAAGTGCCAACTTAGTCGCTCTAAAACTCTGGGCGCCAAACCGAGTATTGACGAAAATTGTACCCTATATGGCGCCGCCCGTAAGAAACTTTAGTTTTCTTTTTCGCAGAAATATTCTCGGGAGTATTCTCATCTACTCCCTAAAGTTTCATGGCGATCGTGTGAACGGTGTCACGGCAATTCACTTTTATTATTTTTATATACCGTATATAGAGAAAAATCGCAACCTCCCGTGGCGCCGCCCTTGCCAAATTAAAAATGATTTTTGTACAGAACCCTTCCCTAGAGTGGTATAATGAACTCCCCAAAGTCTCATGGCTATCGGATGAAAAGTGTGAAATCAAAATAGACTTTTATTTTTATATACCGTATATAGAGAAAAATCGAACCCTTCCGTGTCGCCGCCCTTGCGAAATTAAAAATGATTTTTTACAGAACCCTTTCCTAGAGTTTTATAATGAACTCCCCAAAGTTTCATGCCTATCAGATGAACGGTGTCACTGCAATTCACTTTTATTATTTCAATGTATTTATACAACCCCCTCTCACCAATTGACATTCTAGCCAACAATAGATCACACACTATCTCCACACACTATCTCTACACGTACCGAAACGTTGACACAACACCCACCACCGGATTATCGCCCTTGATAGATCTAACCCCCACTTTATTAAACGCCAGAAAAAACTCCTGCCTACACCCCCCCCCCTCCCCCCCCCCGCCCGCCCGCCCTTACTGCCATGACGATAGTGCCAATCAGCCGTGCCAGCTAGTCTACAACATTCCTCCTGCATACCTTCTGGTTACCTCCAGTATACCTTAAGTATACATCCATTATACCTCCAGTATTCCAGCATGCCAACAGTATACCTCAGCATAACATCCGTATACATCCAGAATACCGCGCGTATACCTCATGTATACGTACAATACACATCCAGTATACCTCCAGTTTACCTCCTATATACGAGCATACCCCCAGCATACCCCCAGTATACCCCCAGTATACCCCCAGTATACCCCCAGTATACCCCCAGTATACCCTTAGTATACCCCAGTATACCCCAGTATACCCCCAGCATACCCACAGTATACCCCCAGCATACCTCCAGTATACCCCCAGTATACCCCCAGTATACTCCCAGTATATCCCCAGTATACCCTCAGTATACCCCCAGTATACCCACAGCATACCCCCATCATACCTCCAGCATACCACCAGCATGTGAAAGAGACGACTAATTGCATGTAGGGAGGGGGTGAGGTTACGCGTCTGAAAGATTTACTGCCGTGTAGCTTGTTATTTTTTTTTACCCTATTTCTTTGAAGACTAACTTTTCAACAATGTTAATGAAAGATAGAGCATGGGATAGAATGGCTAGACACAGATTCTAAACCTCGGCGTCACCGGGGAAATTTCCGCGTAACTGTTTTCGTTTAGAAGTTTGTTCAAGTAAACGCCCATGCATAGGTGTGGTGTGGTCCAGTGGTAACTCAAACTGTTATGAAGCTGAGTCTCTAGTTCGGTTCTTTGTTTTGAGAATGCATGTCTTCCGCTTGTATCTGATAGAGACATAACTGCTGTTTAGCTGAGTGTTAATTGAGATGGGCTAACTGGGCAGCAGCCAGAGGCCCCACTCAATGTTAATACCTCCTTATCTTACCGTAATTATGATCACACAATATTCAAACAAATCCGCTAGTTATAGGATAGTAAAGCCTGCGGATATTCCTACACATGGTCGCCTTCAGCTTTTATAAAGTTGCTCCACTAAAATAAACTCAAAGCTTCAAGCCTATACGTGTAGTAAAATTCCCATAACTGAAACTTTCGTGTAGAAAACTTGTCTGTAATTAGTAGTTATTAATTTATTTTATAAGTATCTGCCACTCTCTTCATCCTATTATAGGGCTGGTAAGTAGATCACCAAATAGCTCTATGGTTAATGCAGGTTTTATTGAGCCGTAGAACTGGACTTACCAGCCCTATAGTTGTATCCTCCATCCTTTCACCATACTTACATAACAATGGATATATCCTGCAAATATACTGTCTCGCGTATGAACGACTGGCTTTCAAAGGTAATGTTTTTACTTTTTTTTTGTTCCTACAAACAAAAAAACCGGGAATGATCTCCCCTAAACTTTGTCGAATATTCTTATATAAAACAACAGGGGATGGGAACTCGGGATATTGTTATGATTTTTAATCCATTTTAAATACTTAAACTTTTTAAAATAGAATAAAATCTCGTGGAAAAAGAATCGCACACCAAGCGAACGCCAAATAAAGATGCGCATAATAGTGCGCAATATTATTAGTAGTTTATAAATTTACATGCGTTTTTTGAGAAATTGGAAATAGCGTAAATTACTACATCCGGACAACGGAAATTACTCGAAATTTGATAGAAGGTAGAGAATTAAATCTTTTACTAACATGTGAAATTTTATTTATCTATCTGAAATAGTACTCAAGTTATAGGCTTTTGAAAAAATTCAAAGTAAAAAAAGTATCACTTCCGGTTATCGGAAATCGCTTAAAAGTTTAGACTGATCCACGATTTTGATAAAATACTTGTATATGAAATTTTATCAACCTAGCTGTAACGGTACTCTAGTTATCGTGTTTACACACACACACACACACACACACACATACACATACACACACACACACAAACAGACATACGGACAAGATTGCAAAACTATGTTTTTCCGACTCAGGGAAATGTAAAACGTCCAGATTTACAATACTTTCTCTATACTTCGTATATACGAGAAAGTAAAAGGTAAATTAATATCTTATAGACTGCATTTCGCATATAGCTACAAATTATAAACAAGGAAGGGATATAACTCTCACTTTTTAGTAAAGAATGTGTTAGACAAAATTGTATAACACAGTTATGTGAGTATTTGTTACTATTATTGTTGAGAAGGGCAGGCACTGTTGTTGTTTTCTAATGGAGATTGTGTGAATTGAAAGGGATTCAATCAGAAGAATGTTAAAACTGTGTAATTAAAATGCGAGAGCCAAGAAAACCTATGTGGCTTGTTAATTTGATAGATAGAAATTTTAATAAGCTAGTTCAGCATTGTACTTGGTTATCTTTCTGCAACAATTGTTTACGAAAGTGGATTTTTACACACCATGCTACTAATATAAATATCCATGATATGGATTATATTTTCGAACAGTTAAGAAGTATGTCTAAAGGATTTTGATGTTTAGTTCATTAAAATCCTTCATCCCCAACCTATTATTTCTGTACAATGATCTCGATAAAATTAGTTGTTATTAAATTGGTAACACTAAAGTATTGTTTACTAATTTACCTACCCCAAGTAAATTATTGCTCATCCATGAAGGACGATTGTTGTTGAATGTTGCACCTGTATAAAGGCTGAACTCATTGCTTCTGGAATGTACGTCAAAAAAAGCGTGAAGTCATTTATAGATGGCCCCCCTGAATAGGAGGATCTATCGGGTTATGTAATGTACGAGGTCATTTAAGTTTTAACATGTTAAGTTAGAAAAATCACGTAAGATTTCTCAGAGGTCAGGGGAGTATTCACTCGTCTGACCTTTTAGAAAAAGGTCAGGAAAGAAGTCAGGTCAAGGTCATGAAGAGGTCAGGTGAAAGGTCAAGTAAGAAGTCATGTAAGTCAGAGGTCAGATTACAGGTCAGGTGAAATATCAGTTAAGAATTTTATTTTTTAAGATTTCAAGTAATTGGTCATGTAAAATAATTAAATAAGATGCAATGACTGAGAAGAAATAGTACTTCGAGGTACGATAAAAAAAATATTCAGTGTTGAAGAAATATATTTTTTTAAAAACGTTTGATTGTGAATAGACATATTAATTAAAGCTTTACTGATAGACGGAACCTTCGCTAGAGAAATGTCAGAGGGTGGGGTGGGTTCAGTAGGGGTGGGGCGGCAGGGCGTGAGGGCGCCGGCGATGACGGGGCCGGGCGGGGACTCTAAAGGTCGCGCCGCTCGCCTTGTTGAAGAGACCGACCAAAGAGCAACATAAACAAGAGACCTGGTTTGTTTATCAGGTGAGTACTCCAAACACGACTCACGCGCGCACACACAAGTGCAGTGCTAAACCAATGCCCGCCGTCCATTGTGTTTACAAGCACCGGAAATAGCTAGAATTACCGCAAGAGGGTGAAGGGAGGGGTGGGGGTAGTGTTTCTGCACATGAACTTGTCAACTGTTCAAATCGTGTTGCCCGACTGAACAATGTTTTTATACAATTCGTTTGTTTGCCGTCTGGGCGGGGAATATTTATTGAAACTACAAACAGTTCCAACATACATTTTCGTTAACCCGTTTTGGTCGTTTATTTTAGGAGGCTGCATGTTTAATAGGATAATTGATCATCGAACTAATTGAACGTATGCCGTATTGCTGTTACTCCCTGTTCGTCAAAAAATTCGTGTTTAGGTTTTCAGGAATGCAACTTCACTGACTGATACTTCAGTCACCGGCGGTACAGTACGGTAAGGTAACTCAAAGTCTCATACCTCCCCCCTCTCCCCCCCCCCCCCCCCCCCACACACACACACATACTCCCCATTTCAACATTGTTGTAATTTTTTTTCTTTGGCGCCATCACTCCATACCATTTAATTAACTGTAAAATAAAAAGATACATGTGTACAAAGTTATGCGTATCGCATACCGACACCCCCCCCTTCCTATTTCTTCAATGTTATTTTGTTGAATTATCTTTGTTCGGAAACAAAAAAAAAATATGTTAAACTGGTCTGAGAGTTAAAAAGTGTCCAATAAATCTCAGAGAGTTGCCAAGCAACGAACTGGACGTTGCCCATAAAGTGGTGCCTAGAATCAACAAATAAAGTATTTACATCGGACTTACAAAAACACAAGCTCCACAAAGCAGGAACTCCTGGTAAACGCTAGATGCCACACGGTGAATAAAATAGTCAAGTTCCCTTTATGATCATACGGTCACTAGGCAAAGTGAGTAGAGTTCTATTTTTTTCTTTACCTTGTCATATAATGTATAGTGTGGTCAGTATTATCGTCGTTAATATCCTCGATTTGTCAAGTTCTCATCAGATCTAGAGGCCTCAAACCCGAGATTCGAACTCAAATCTATCGAGGCGGACATCAAGTGTTCTACCACTCGACCAGTCAATACAAACAATATAAGATGGAAGATTATTGTAACTCCATCTTATATTGTATACGGCCTTATTATTGAAATAACGGTCGGTATATAATTTCCATTTATCTTTAATAGCATTAATAGCTGGATACAGACTTCACTTTGTGTACAGTCATAATATAAAAAAAGAAAGATTGAAATGTTGAGATCTGCCACTTCAAATAGTTTTCAAACACGTTCAGTGATGTTTTTGTTGCCGGTGTACTCACCAACATCACGTGAAAAACTCGCAACGCACGTGTTTATGTTAGCAGTCGGTGAAAGAAGATGATGAAACAAAAATAACTCACGGACGCGCACGGCAGAACCATCATACTCAGAGATGCGGCAGTTAGATGGCTAATTTCTTCAACGAATGCATTTTTTTTTTCTCTTAGACTTGGCATCTCGAAATACAGACATAGAAAATATCGAGATGGCGAAGTTTTTTACTGATAGAACGTGGGTTATCTTTTTTATAAGTGAACCGCTAAAAAAAAATCATGTACACTTGAATTATTTTGATGGCACTGAAAACAACTCAGTTCAACTTTTTATTATCAGCTTTCTGTTTATAAACAAATTCTATCAAGTATTTAAAATTGAGGATTTCTTAAACACTAAAATAAAAATGCTAAAACTTTGTTTGCGTCGGTTTGAAAATTGGAAATTAAGTGCAGGTCGAAATTATGTGTTAAGAATCCAACGTATCCAGTTTAGTTAGAAATAACAATATTTATAATAGTCTAACATAAATGAGATAAAAGTATACAGTTTGGCCATAGCTTAGCTATTCATTTATTGGACAATTACATACACAATAGGTAAATAAACTTAGTTCCAGGGCCACAACCTCCCTGCACCGAAATATAGGGACTATTGCTGGACCACCAGGACACCTACCAGCCCACCAGAACACCCAACAGAACAACTACCACCCAACCAGAACAACTACCAGCCCACCAGAACACCTACCAGCCCAACAGAACACCCAACAGAACACCTACCACCCAACCAGAACACCTACCAGCCCACCAGAACACCTAACAGCCCACCA